GGAGGCTGAGGCAGGAGACTCGCTTGAGCCCAGGAGTTGGAGGTTGCTGTGAGCTGTGATGCCATGGCACCCACCCAGGGGGACAGCCTGAGGCTCTGTCTCAAAAAAAATAAATAAAGGAAGCTGTTTTATGACTAGTCTAAATAAAAGAAAAGAAAAATTGTTTACAACTACTCTATTACATTTTTATCATTATCCCCACTTTACAGAGGAGGAAACCGAGATTTAAAGGACTTAAACCACTTGCCTAAGATCACACACTGACCTTGCCTAACGTTAGTGGTTTTATTAGGATTTAAACCCAAGTCCAGTGTACTCCAAAATCCAATTGCTCCTTTCATTACACCATGACGTCTCTCCAGGAAAATGTAAAGTGGTTTTTTAAAAATGATTTGTTTTGATGTTTGTGGCTTGCAACTTGCATATAACATTTATATTTGAGGTTTTTTAATTGTAATGGTTTTATTTTTATTATTTTTTATTAAATCATAACTTTGTAGATTGATGCATTTATGGGGTTATATTTGAGTTTAGCAAATCTTTATGACTAGCCAAGAACAGTAACCAAGAATCCCTCACCCGGTGTTTGTCTTTCTTGTTCAGGGTCAAGGTGAAAGATCCAAAGACTGGGGAAGACCCTCAAAGGCAACCAGTTGGGTCTTCCATTCCTTTTCTAGAAGCTGGTCAGGAGCCACCTTTCAGAAGTAGCCCACTGGAAAGCTTCAGTAACCTTGTGCTAGAGTCAAGAGTGGACATGTTCAGCTCAAAGATGATCATCAGTGACCCAGCTGCAGAAGCCAGCAGGGCCGGGAAGAAGCACCTCAGAGATGCTCAGAACCCACGTCCATCTGCCAGAGTTGGAGCCCGACACAAGTCCCTCAGCATAAAGGATAAGATATCAGAATGGGAAGGGAAGAAGGAGTCATCCACTCTTGTACCTGGCAGCAAAGTGGATGGACAAGAGGATTATCTGACCTCCTGTGTGGTAGGGAGGAGGAGAAGTAGTGATGGGGTAAGGCCTCAGGTCACAGAGGCTAAGAATGGAACAAGGTTGGAAACAGAGAACAGAGAAAATGAGAGGAGTAAAGAGGAAGTAAAAGTCCAGGGACAGAGCCCAGAGCAGTGGCAAGATCCGAGCCAGCCAGCCAGGGAGCTGGATCCTAGCTTGGGCCGGAGCCGAGAGCCGAGGGTTGGCAGGCGCTTTCAGAATGATCAGCTCTCGGTGCTGAAACAGGTCAAGAAGCTTGAGCAGGCTTTGAAGGATGGATTGGCAGGGTTGGACCCCCAGTTACCCGGGACTTGTTATTCCCCACACTGCCTGCCTGATAAGGCAGAAGAAGGGCCCACCCTCCCTGAGAACCTGGGAGGTGGGGGAGGTTCAGAAGTCAGCTGGAGAGTCCACCACGTGGACCTGGAAGGCAGGGAGTCTGCCCCTGAGGCTGCTGAGAAAAGGAAAGGTTCATGTGGAAAGCCGGGGGACCAGAGCCTCGAGAGTATGTACAGGGGCTCGGAGGGTCCCCCCCCAAAGCCCTTCATCAACCCCTTGCCAAAGCCCCGGAGAACGTTCAAACATGCTGGAGACGGGGACAAGGATGGGCACCGGGGCATCAGCTTCAGGAAAGAGAAGAGAAACCTGCCTCCCCTACCCTCTCTACCTCCCCCGCCCCTGCCCTCCTCTCCCCCTCCTCCCTCTGTGAACAGAAGGCTGTGGACTGGGAGACAGAAATCCAGCACTGACCACAGGTAGGTGCAGGTGTCTGCACAGCAATGGCGCTGGATTTACACCCCATCACTACTGTCTGTTTCTCAGCCTAATTGCCGTAGGACCTCTGTAAGTTGACCACCCAAGGGACTGTAACAGACTGGTCAGTATGGGGGTGGTCAGCATAAGGAACTAAGCCTACTGTACTAATATGTACATGTGGTACATGTCCAATCTATGAAAATAGGTCAACTTAAGGGAGGTGGTCACTGTAGTGAGGTGATCAATTATGGAGGTTCTACTGTATTTGTTTCATTAAACTGATGGATCTTATAATTGGTAGCTTAAGATACTTTGCTGATTAATCTGGAAATGCAATAACAGATGATGTGCTTTGTGTTTGTTCTGAGTCTTAAAAAAAGTATTTGTGTTTAAAAATTATCCTTTAGATGGGAAAAGGATATGGAATTGGGATGGTAACCAAGAGTCAAAAGGACTCGTGTTCATAGTGGCAATCTCTATTGACTAGTAGTCCCTGGTAACTATCTGTGCTTGAATATTTTCTGGCTCTTCTTTTTTTTTTTTGAGACAATTCTTACTATGTTGCCCTTGGTAGAGTGCTGTGGCATCACAGCTCACAGCAACCTCAAACTCTTGGGCTTAAGTGATTCTCTTGCCTCAGCCTCCTCAGTAGCTGGGACTACAGGCACCTGCCACAATGCCCAGCTATTTTTTTGAGAATAAAAAATTCTCACTCTTGCTCAAGCTGGTCTCTAACTCATGAGTTTCCAGGGGTCCTCAAACTTTTTAAACAGGGGGCTAGTTCACTGTTCCTCAGACCACTGGAGGGCTGGACTGCAGGCCCCAGGACAAGTTGGCTGCTAAGCAGGACAGGCAGCGGCCGCAAAAACACCCGGCAGGCTGGATAAATGTCCTACGCAGGCCACATGTAGCCCACAGGCCGTAGTTTGAGGACCCCTGGTTTTGGCAATCCACCTGCCTTGGCCTCTCAAGTGCTGAGATTACAGACGTGAGCCACCAAGACTGGCCTTCAGGCTCTTCTTTTCATGTTTTTTCTTGGGCTCTAGAAACACGTTGCCTGGGCCTCCTTTGGCACCGTCACTGTCTTTCTTCACTTGATCTGAGCCAAAACGGCAAGAAGCAGTCACTGTCTACCTTGAAGGAATTACCCTGTCAAAACCTCAGTTTCCTCTTTTGTATATATAGGTGCGTTCATGATGAATATTTTATAATTTTTTCTTTTTTTGAGACAGAGTCTCATTATGTCGCCCTCAGTAGAGTGCTGTGGCATCACAGTTTACAGCAACCTCAGACTCTTGGGCTTAAGCGATTCTCTTGCCTCTGCCTCCCAAGTAGTCGGGACTATAGGCGCCCAGAACAATGCCTGGCTATTTTGTTGTTGTTGTTGTTTTTGTAGTTGTCATTGTTGTTTGGTAGGCCTGGGCTATGTTCAAACCCACCAGCTCCAGTGTATGTGGCTGGCACCCTAGCTGCTGAGCTATAGACACCAACCCAATTTTTTTTTTTTTTTTTTTTGAGACGGAATCTCACTTTGTCACACTCGGTAGAGTACTGTGGCGTCATAGCTCAGAGCAACCTCAAACTCCTGGGCTTAAACAATTCTCTTGCCTCAGCCTCCCAAGTAGCTGGGACTAAGGCACCTGCCACAATGCCCAGCTATTTTTAGAAGTGGGATCTTGCTCTGGCTCAGGCTAGTCTCAAACCTGTGTGCTGAAGCAATCCACCCTCCTCAGCCTCCCTTGCTATGATTACAGGTATAAGCCACCATGCCCAGCCAATATAATATTAAAGTGACACAATAGCTGGATACAGTGGCTCAAGTCTGAAATCCCAGCTACTTGGGAGGCTGAGGTGGGAGGTCACTTGAGGCCAGGAGTTTGAGACCAGCCTGAGCAGCATAGCAAGACCCTCATCTCTAAAAACAATAAAATAACATATTAAATAATGAAGCCTATTAATGTTTAAAAATAAAGTCTGTGCTTGTTTTTTCTTTCTTTTTTCTTTTTTTTTTTTGAGACAGAGTCTCACTTTGTTACCCTCAGTAGAGTGCCCTTATGTCATAACTCACAGCAACCTCGAACTCTTGGGCTCAAGCAATCCTCTTGCCTCAACCTCCCAAGTAGCTGAAACTGCAGGCGCTCACCTCAATGCCAGGCAATTTTATTTATTTATTTTTTTTGTAGAGACAGACTCTCACTTTATTACCCTCTGTAGAGTGCCGTGGTGTCACATAGCTCACAGCAACCTCCAACTCCTGGGCTTAGGTGATTCTCTTGCTTTAGTCTCCCAAGTAGCTGGGACTACAGGCCCCTGCCATAATGCCCAGCTATTTTTTTGTTGCAGTTTGGCTGGGGCCGGGTTTGAACCTGCCACCCTCGGTATATGGGGCTGGTGCCCTTCCCACTGAGCCACAGGTGCCACCCTGGGCTATTTTTTTTAGAGATGAGATCTCAGTCTTGCTCAGGCTGATCTTGAACTCCTGAGCTCAGGCAATCCACCTGCCTCAGCCTCCCAGTGCTAGGATTATAGGTTTGAGCCACCGCACACAGCCAAATCTGTGCTTTGAATAAAATTTCTTTTCTGCTTTGAAATTTAATCTCTAGTCCATTTTTGAAATTGTGCTGTTTGGTTTGATACCCGCTAATCTAGAAGCCGGCTCAAGAGCAAACTTGTCAAACCCGTTGTTGATACTTTCATCACTCCTTCCCCTCCCATTTTTAGTTGACCTACTTCATTGGGCTTTGGCCACTCACCCTGAAACTGCTCCTTGCCAATGCCACAGACAACCTCCACCTTGCTAAATCCAGTCGCCAATGCTGTGTTCTTTTCTTACTTGATCTCTATTAGTATTTGAGGAACACCTGTTGACTCTCTGCATCTTAAAACATTAGCTTTTAGATTGCGTGTCCCTGGTAATCCTGCTCCTCTGGCTCCATTCCCCTCTCCTTCTTTATGTCAGAGTCCCCTCCTCTTCCTAACCCATCCCCTCCCCAAGCAGGACTCAGACCAAGGACTGACTTCCTCCACTCACTCCCTAAGGCAAGGGTCCTCAAACTTTTTAAACAAGGAGGCCAGTTCACTATCCCTCAGACTGTCGGAGGGCCAGACTGTGGGCCCCGGGACAAGTCAACTGCTAAGCAGGACAGGCAGCGGTGGCAAAAACACCTGGCGGGCCAGATAAATGTCCTAGGTGGTTCGCCTGTGGCCCGTGGGCCATAGTTTGAGGACGCCTGCCTAAGGGATCTCATCCAGTCCTGTGGCTTTAAATGTCAATTACATCAAGGATTCCCAAATTTAGATCCCCAGCCCCGACTCCCTCTCCCAGGTTCAGGTTTCTGTAGTTACCTCCTGCTTGGATCTCCATCTGCTGTTATCTAATAGTATGGGCTTACCATGCCCAAACCTACATCCTCAATCCAAGCCGCCACTACCTCCTCTTGAAAAACTAAGTGGCATGACCTTTTAAGTAATTGCTCAGAATCTCTGATTCCTGTCCTTCTCTCGCACTTCATCTAATTAATCATTAAGTGCTTTAATTCTAGTTTTAAAACTTTGTCCTGACTCGAGCGGTGCCTGTGGCTCAGTGAGGAGAGTGCCAGCACCATATACTGAGGCTAGCGGGTTCAAACCTGGCTCCAGCCAATCTGCAACAAAAGAATAGCTGGGCGTTGTGGCAGGCGCCTGTCGTACTAGCTACTTGGGAGGCTGAGGCCAGAGAATCACCTAAGCCTAGGAGTTGGAGATTGCTGTGAGCTGTGACACTACAGCATTCTACTGAGGGCAACAAAGTAAGATTCTTTCTATAAAAAAACAAACAAACAAACAACTTTGTCCCGACTCTGCCTACATCTACTGCACTGCTACCACCTCAGTCATCTTGGCTCCCCTCTCCAGAGTGTACCTCCCTTAGCAGCCAGAGGAGTCTGCTAAAAACATAAAACAGATCCTGTTACTTCTCACTCAACATGGTCAAGTGGGATTCTTTGGGCTGCAAATAACATAATTTCTTATGTTCTCCTCCAAGGGAAAAAAGTTCGCAAACTAGGTTGTTCACAGTTTACAAATAATGCCGTGAGGAGCAGCATATGGCATTAGACAGGGCTCTAGAACCGGAGCACTTCACTAGCATTGCCATTTATTAGCTGCTACATTTGTGTTGGCCTCATTTTACTTATCTGTAAAATTATAGCAACCACTTTAAAGGATTGTTGTGAAGATTAGATGAGTTCGTATGTGGAAACATAAATTTAGAATAGAGCCTGCCATATAGTAAATACTCAGTTTGTGTTGTTATATTTTTTCTGGCTCTATTCCTTTAAATTAATCAGGCTATCTATTTTTTTGCCAGTACCAAACTACTTAAATTATTTGAACTTTTTATTTTATTTTATTATTTATTTATTTATTTATGTTGTTGTGACAGAGTCTTCCTTTGCTGCCCTTGGTAGAGTGCCGTGGTGTCACAGCTACAGCAACCTCAAACTCTCTTAGGCTCAAGCAATTCTCTTGCCTCAGCCTTCCAAGTAGCGGGGTCTACAGGTACCCACCAGAATGCCCAGCTGTTTTTTAAGAGACAAGGTCTTGTTCTGGAGCAGGCTGGTCTCAAACTTTTGAGCCCATGCAGTCTACTCACCTTAGCCCCCTAAATGCTAGGATTATAGGCGTGGGCCACCACACCCAGCCCTTCATATTATATTTTAATACCTAGTAGGGCTTACAGAAATTTATAATTTATTTTTCATTTTATTTTATTTTATTAGTTCTTTTTATTTATTTGTTTATTTATTCTTGAGACAGAGGCTCACCGTGTTGCCCTTGGTAGAGTGCTATGGCATCACAGCTTACAGCAACCACAGCAAGAGCAAACTCTTGGGTTTAAGTGATTCTCTTGCCTCAGCTTCCCAGGTAACTAGAAATATAGGCACCCACCACATTGCCCGGCTATTTTTTATTGTTGTTGTTGTCATTGTTGTTTAGCAGGCCAGGGTGAGTTTGAACC